GTGAGGTCTCATATGTAGTTTAATATAATATTTCTTGTGGACATCAGATATTGACGTTCAACTTAATAGGTTGTTAACGTTAGGTAAGCATAACCAAATCCTTCGACTAGATCAATTTTGTTATAGGACAATTATTCCCCGGGTAATCATTCTCAATGGCAGATTATTTCCTGTACATTTAATAGTCCTTTATAACAGACTTACGTTTCACCTAAAATTAAAATCACACAAATCTATCACAGTTCCGACAACAGAGGAAGATTTTTACTTTTTACGATCGACACAGGTGTCCTATAGGGCTCTTTTTATTCATAAATACATTGGATGTTGTATTACCTTCTAAGGATTGCCAGGCCGTAAGAAGGACGTGGAAGGTCCCCATTTGGACAACCACACAGAACTGAAAACTAGCCCTTGTAGTGGTGAAACAGACCGCCGTGTTTCCCTGATGGGATCGGAAAACACCTCTAAGCTGACCCGCTGAGACTGGTTACCAGGCTTATAATCGCTGAACTCAGGCCGCAAATCTGTACCTCCCTGTGATGACTGCCTCAAACCAAGCCAAAGTGATCTCTCTTTTCAGCCGACAATCAGTCTGCTTTTCTCACATACCTACAATCATACCCACATTCCTTTCCCACATGCCTTTCAAGTGTATGTCCTACATTCTGACATTCTGGTCCACATTCCAGGATTCTCCACATGCCTTTCAAATGTCCTACATTCTGACATTCTGGTCCACATTCCAGGATTCCCCACATGCCTTTCAAGTGTATGTCCTACATTCTGGACCACTTTCCTACGAAGTGAAATTCCAGGAAACCCTTGCGACATTGTGGAAATTGAACAGATCATTCACAACTGAGCAGACACATGCTGATTCATATTCCTGTTCATGCCCCGGCCCCGGAGGCTAATTGCCAGTTACAAGCATAAAAGAAGAGCCAGTGTATAAAAGTAACTAAAAATCTACAAACTGAAAGGTATTTGTCTAAAATTATAGCTATGTCTAAAACTTATAATGTCTGAAGGGTTTGACTTCTCTCTTGTAAAGACTTGTAAACTGAAGAAGACATGTGTATATCTGTAAGTCAGAGTCTTTCTCAGCATTTCCCCCAACATGTTCAGGGTCACAATGTTGATTCGGAATTGCCACAAGAGGAGTATCCATTGTGATCTAATACCGGTATGTCTTTAAGTTTAACACGTTGCAGTAAAGTTAGTCTACGGGTATTTGTTGGAAGGCTTTGCTGTAAGAGGAGAGCATCCATTTGAAGGGAGTGTGAGGTTGTGCCCATTTGGACCAAGCATCTACCTAATTCTGCTCTACAGGCGACATTGCTACTATTTCTAAATAGATAAAATAAGAATTCTAGGAATTGTACAGGCATTTTTGTCCACAGGCAAGCGGATTCCTGTCCACAGGTATGCGGAATGTCGACAGGCATTTCTCTGACCCACATCTATGCCCGCATTCCTGGAACCCTGAAGACCTGCCTGCCCCAGATGGTCATACTTTCTGTGACCCCGGGGCTCGTTCACTATGCACTCAGGGGAGGAGTGTACTGTATCTGTCTAGAAAAAAATCATGAAATGATGGCAGTGCCATGCAAACAATAACCCTAACAGCAACCACCGTCGCCATGGCAATGTATGTTTTCATTGCCAGTCTTGTTTTTTTTTTTTTTTTGCAGAGCGACAAGTGAAAATCAATGCGCGAAATTCCAGTGTTTGATTAACGTACTAAAGGTATGTATGTACATGTATGTCCACCTCTTACTTGACCACGTAGCACGTACCAGGGGCAATCTCTAAAGAACTACTGGCTCTGTTAGCTACGGCTCAATTAGCTACGGCTTATTACTGTGCTCGGGCGCATGCAGGGATGGACGTTACCCCCAAACACAGCCAATTACCGAAGGACTCCAAGACCACGTTATGAATACACGCCGTTGATCAACGTCAAAATAAGAACGAAATGTATTCGCAGAAGCGGTTGGTCTTGTGGTAAGAAATACCATGTATTCCTCATTAGGCCATGTTGATTTCATTATATGGATGACACCCACACACGCATGAATTTTCGTCCGTTTAAAAGTTGTGTTAAAAATATATTGGGAAACGATACCAATGTCGTGGAATGACAAAATCAAACAAAAAAGAAATTAATTTGAAGAGTAGATTATTCGCCATACCATAGTATGTGTCATTTGTTCAACCTTCATATGACCAAGTAGATTTCATAATGAAAGCAATTTTTATATATATATATAATCTTTTTTTCTATTCGCACGCTCGCATCAGTTTTGACGTTCCCAGAGGATGTTATCCACATAATCAAATCAACATGGCCTAGATTGCAAAAAAAAATATTGGGAAACGATACTAATGTCGTAGAACGTCAAAATCAACTCCAAAGGAACAGAAGAAAATGACAAGAGATGAAAATAAAAGTCAGTGTGTTTAGTCATTTGTTCAACCTTCATGACCACGTGGATTTCATAATGAAGGCAACTTTTTTGCCAAAGTCCACATGAGCCAATCAACATGGCCTTAGGCCACACCGATTTTATGGATGACATCCGCGCGCGCATTGAATTTCGCCTGTTTTCAAAAAAAAAAAAAAGATCACGTCTACCGAGGCTCTGGCCTGGCTCTAGCCCATGTAGTTAGCAACAATACGGAGCTGGGCATCCAGGCTACCGAAGCTCTACGACTCAAGAACTCAGTACACACGTACAGTGCCGATTCATAAATTCAGCAAAAAGCAGGCATGTGCCGACTTGTATACGTGAGTCACTAAGTACTGCCGCAAATTCACAATACCAGCTTTGTATTCCTGTGGTTTAGTAGCATTTTTATTTTTGGCCGGAATTTTCTTCTATTCGCCCGCGCGCACTAGTTTTGGGGTCTTCAGAGGATGTGATCCTTAAAATTAAGGCGGTGTGGCCGTATTACAAATACCTACTCTGTCAGAGGAACAAAAAAAAAGACCGAGCACGTGAGAGAACTGTGGTGATAAACTACGGTTAGAGTGAAATGTAGAGCCATCGCCGTTTAAAGATAAGGCGAAAGCTCATTCATCTATTGCCAGATCCGTCGGCTACATTAGGTATGCACTTCAAGGCGTTCTTCATAAACTTTTAGGTGTCTTAGACGGAGAGTCTCAAAAGACTAAACGGATAGTTACTCGTCTTGGCGCCAACTGAAACTATCGGTAAGTAATGCTCAGACACTGAGTACCCACTCTGACTGATAACTCTCTTCCTATCTTAGCGTATGGGTGAATACATCACAGTAATGACATTACGTTTGAGTGATTGTTATCTTCTGGTAACGACATCCTGTAATCAAATACAAGTCCCAAAATAAACAACAACAAAAAAAAACAAAAACATTCAGGATATTAAATACGTACCTACAATACAACGGCATCAATCAGTACCTCCTACATCTAACCTGAAAAATGATGAAACTACGTTGTTCCTTTCTTGACTTATCCGCTTTAAAAGTTTTTTATCAGAAAATAACCTGCATTTCCAGAAGAAGCTACTAGGGGGACAAAACTTACACCACTTATTCCTGACAAGATAAGCTATCTGTCACCAAAAATCACCAAAAAACAAGACCATAGCATGTTCAGGACAAAAGATACAAAATGAATCAATGAATGTAATTTACGCGAATCGTGCTCGGGCACGGTTTAGAAGGAACGTGTGGCACGTGGAGCAGATGTGAGGAATGCGATTTACCCGAATCGCGGTTTCAGGCGTTTTCATGAAATGGATCAGTTTTACTTATATTTAAATGGTACCGTAGCCAGCAAAAATACGAGTAGATTCGGTTTTACAAAACAACGACGGTATTGTTAAGCCATCTGGTATTATAACTGGTATTTTTCACCAGAGCGCAAACGTCAGACTCAAATGTCAAAATGAAATAATTGGCATCTCCAAATGCGGGTGACGTGCTGTCGGTACGAGTTGGAAGCCACGCTGTTCCGCCGAGGGGTGATTATTTTGTTACGTGGAAACTTTGATAGATCCGCGTTGAGCTTGTAAAGACTTCAGGGCCATTTTCACGTCTGCAATAACTCGGTAAACTATCACTCAGTCTGTCAGTTGGATGAAGTTTAGTATGAAGAATTTTCTCACCCAGAATAGTAAGTACCGTGTAAGCATTATTCGTCACTTAGTCACTTATAGCCTGGGTACCATCCTACTTGCATGCCGGGGCTCCCACACTCGCTTCCCTAAGAAGTACTTCTTAGGGAAGCGAGTGTGGGAGCCAGCAGTCACTTAGGCCACACCGACTTAATTTTATGGATGACATCCTCAGAAGACCCCTAAACTAGTGCGTGCGGGCGAATAAAAGAAAATTCCGGCCAAAAAAAATGCTACTAAACCACAGAGCTGGTATTGTGAATTTGCGGCAGTACATAGCAACGTATACGACAAGCTGGTACATGCCGGCTTTTTGCGGAATGTATGAATCGGCGCTGTACGTATGTATTGAGTCGTGGAGCTTCGGTAGCCTGGGCTGGTTACCACCGCTCTGTATCATCGCTAACTACCATGGACTATCCAGGCCTAGAGCCAGGCCAGAGCCTTGGAGGACGTGATCTTTTTTTTTTCGCGCGCGCGTGGATGTCATCCATAAAATTAAATTGGTGTGGCCTTAGTCATGTAGTTCAGCAGGTAGAGGTGGGATACATCAAATTCGCTTCGTTTCTTCTCCTTCTTCTCTCAAACAATATATTTAACATCTGGTAAGTTATGTTGCTCCAAGATCATATCCAGTTACAGTAGTATCATTCTCTATTTGTTGTCAGATTCGGCCCATAGTACTTTCATTAATGTTGAGCATAAAATGCCCAATCGTCACCAGGATCATTCCGATGCCTTCCTGTCCTATGCAAATGAGGGTTAGCCCCCTGTTTTCGCTAAGTTCTGGGGATGGGAAACTGGTTAATGACGGTTTACTAGCCCCTCCCCACATACCTGTCTATGGCGATGACCAGCAGAGCGTTGGTGGACACGTAGAGCGACGTCTGCCGCAGGAAGTGGACAGCCACGCAGGTCACGTGACTGTGGGTCCACATCCGGGACTTGATGATGTAGTAGTCGAGGTTGAAGGGCAGACAGAAGACGGCCACCAGGAAGTCTGACAGAGCGAGGTTAGCGATGAGTGTGTTGGTCATGGTGCGGGCTTTCTTGAACCACACGATGACCGAGATGAGCAGGAGATTGCCGAAGCCACACGTCATCACGATCAGACAGTAGACTATCCCCAGAAACACCTAAAGGGAGTCAAAAAATTCTTATTTTATTTTTTAATTTTCTTTTTTTATTATTTTTTGTTATTTTTCAAAATGTTTTTGTAGTATTGTTTTAAGTGGCTGAGGTGTGTCCGGAAACAATATGGTGATAGCACGTGGGTGTGTGAGGGGATTGACAGGCAGGATGGGAGATCAAAATGTCAGATCAGACAGTAGACTATCCCCAGAAACACCTGCAGGGAGTCAAAAAATTCTCAGAAAACCTTCACAATCGATCTAGCCTAACAAACTTATGCTCTGTTCATTGTTACTCAAACACATTCATATATGATATATGGTGAGCAGCCACTCTAGCTTTGTCCTGCTACGTCATAATGTAACCCAACACCACAGGCTGTCTGCAACAATGCTACACGTAGTTACCATGGTGACAGGCGTCTAGTCCAGGTCATTGACTTTTTTGTTTGGAGAAGAAGAAGGGGAAGAAACAGAGCAAAAACAGCATGTTTTCTTTCTGCGAAGGTAAAAATTGAAAAAAAAATGTCGTTTTAGGTGGCTGCTGAAGTATGTGTAGCTGTTTGTTACGGACGAAAAAAAGTGATAGCACGTGGGGGGATTGGCAGGCAGAATGACAGGAGAAAATGTCTAACGATGGAGTGGGGAGAGAATGAAGTATTAAATGCTGATGCAGCATTTTAAGATACAACGTTGTGTGACAAATTTAGAGTTAAAAGTTTTGTTTCAACACAAAGAGAATTGTCCTCACCTAGAGTTTTAGAAACGTCACTCTGGTCTTCCTGAGTAGACTGACCCAGTGCAGTGAGGCTTGTCACGTGACGTCTCGAAATGTGACTGGGTCAGTCTACTGAGGAAGACCAGAGTGGCTGCTGGTCGAAAGCTCTAGGTGAGAACACTTGTCTTCGTGTTGGAACGACATTTTTCACTCTGAACATGTAAGGCCATGTTGATTTGATTATATGGATGACGTCCGCGCGTGCATGAATTTTCGGCGGCCGTTTCCAAAAAAAAAGGTTTTCAACCATGCTGTAAATCGTACAAAATAGTTGCAAAATTGCCAAATATATACCGTAAGTTGCCAAAAAATATTTAAAAACGATACCAACGTTGTAGAATGCCGAAATCAAACGAAAAAGACGAAAATGTAAAGACATGAATTTGAAGAGTAGATCATTCGCCAAACCAAATTCTGTGTCATTTGTTCAACCTTCATGACCATGTAAATTTCATGATGTAAGTACCTTTTTTTTGCAAAACTTTTTTTATTCGCACGCTCGCATCAGTTTTCGGGTTCCCAGAGGATGTCATCCATATAATCAAATCAACATGGCCTAACTACCAACACAGATGATAGTCGAGTGGCAAAGTTCTGATGAACACCACCCACCTTTAGACCTATGGACACCTCTGCGTCTGTTTCTGTCGAGGGATAGTCGGTCAGGGGGTATTCGCAGTCCCCATAGTACAGAGCCATGTCGGTGACATTGGTGCTGTTATAGTCACACTCCGTCAGAGGTGCTCCCGACGTGTTTGAGGCATTCATGCTGTTAGAATAATAATAAAGTTGTTAATTGGTCAAACATTACCCGTGTAAATCGCAGCCTATGGCGCTGAATTGATGCAGGGTTTACGATCACTTAATACACATGATACATATAACATATTTGCTCCACACACTTTTGTGGAACTGTCACAAAGGTCTGTGCAGCTGCCATTCGGCCCCACCAGGTGACCTCAATACGACTGTCCCAACCGAAGTTAGGGTTCTCC